CTCCTAAAAAGAAAAGTAAGCGACTAACTCACTCATGCAGTGATTTGCCGCCACCTACTGGCGATTTTAGGTTTATATTTAAAGTATATTTCCCTCTCTTCTCTCTCCATTTCAGATATCAGCATTCAACATTTTGTTTTTAAACATCAAAACATTATTTATGCATTTGTAACTGCAGGTTTACTGCATTCATGTCCTGCATTGAACAGTCTGTGAATGAATCTAAACGCCACTTCAGACGCAGATTCTGTTGCTCTGCACTGCAAACACTACTTTTGTTGATACTGATTTAATTTGATTGGTAACTATACCTAATACCTTAATAGTGTATTAGCCGGAAGCCCGTTTCAGCCACTGAATAAAAATATAAAAAAAAGGTAATTGCGACTTTTTAATCTCACAATTCTGACTTTTTTTCCTCAGAATTGCATATGATATAAACTCGCAATAGCAAGACAAAGTCGCAATTCTCGTAAAAAAAAAACTGTGAGGAAAGAATAAATGTCACATTTGTTTAGAGCATTTTCTACACATATATCCACCTTATTTTTCAAAGCAGAAGTAAGCCGTTTTCTGTGAATGTGCGAGACTTCCGGTTCATTAGCCGCTGTGGGGAAATAACCAGAAGAATAACATCATGCAGTAAACGGTAAAACTGTTTGCACTACAAACCAGTGTCTTCATAATTAAGACATTAAAATAATACGGTGAGATGCACCAAATTGCGAGCTGTTTAGTACAGATAAAAACAGCTGGAAGCGGATGAGACCGGAAGCCAAACACATTAAATTTACAAAAGGCCGCGCCAGTTCTTACGAGAAAAATAAGGTGGATAAATAGCGACAAGTCAAGCTGCAATACCAAACAGAACCACACGGAGACGCCAATATATAGATATATACAGATCCATTCAGAATTATTAAACAAGGCAAAGCACAAGTTAAAAAAAGCAAAGCAAAACACTAAGGTTCAACCAACTTGAGAACTACATTCAGTCACAAAGAGTTGATTATTACACAGAATCTGTGCCGATATCACGGACCATAACTATATCTGCATCATTTGGTTATTGAGTGTAGTATGCAGCCTATAAATGTTGTCTTGCACATCCAGTCTGTTTTACTTCATTAGTAACATTTGTATTATATTGGACGTGTTGAATTTTATCTTTAGCTCCTTGCATTCTTTCTTATGTAGAAAACATGTTAAGTAAAAATATGCAATATAGCGCATGTATTTAGCAAAATGCTCCTCTTTATAGTTATTTTTAGCTGATTAATGAGCTTATGCATGCTGAATGGTTATTCTGAGGTAGCTAAATATACTGTTTACAAGTGTTTTCCGCAGTTTGAAACACTGAGTGAGCGATTACATGACATTTCAGTAAGCTGTACTGTATCTTATAAAATAGCTTTTGATGTGCATTCATGTTTATTTCATACTGTAGTAGAAAGAGAGAGATCTGACGGATTGAACTGAGGCGCTACAGCGATCGCTCACGCTACATTATTAAAGAGCGCCAAAACCGGTATGTATTATTTGAATATCGTTACGAATTTAACAGGATTTTAAAGCTGATACTTTGTTAAAATGTAACAGAGCACAAAGCTTATTGCGATTATTATACTAAAACTTCGATGCGCATCGTCTTAGTTTATTACGTCAACATCACAAAAGATGTGATCGCAAAACAATCAGGAAAAAATATCATAACATGTCAATTTATATAGTCGCCAGTTGTGATCTCAGCAAAAACTTCACTCGCAAATTCATATATTTGGTCGCAAATGTGTCGTCTGGAGACCTGCATACTGAAATGTGCTCAGAGAGCACAGACACACGGACTGTTTATTCGCACACTAATAATAACACACTTGCATGTCTAATAATGTACGACTCCTGTATGTCACTGTAATCGTCTTTACCTCCAGGGCTCCAGACTGCGACCATTTTTTCTGCCTATGCGACTAGATTTTAGTGGCGCAAACACCGCGTTGTTCAACTCATAATCACTGCCATTTCTGTTGCATATGAGAAACATAAAACGCCTGCCATTATTTTAGGGGGGCGGCCCGCCCCCCCAACGGCACCCCCGCTCCCCTTGAAGGTCAAGTTAATTTTATTTAATTATATTTTCTCTATAGCACCCGATCACAACAGTAGTCATTTAAAGTTACCTTTCCGATAGAACGGGTCTATACCTTGTTCTTTTATTAAGCAAACTAAATAGCCTTATGTTATTTATCTTATTTACACGACGGCATGTCATTTCGGTCTTTACGTTATGGTCGCGCTCTCTGTATCACGCACAGCGGAGTTCCGCCCGATGCGCGCGCACACACACACACGTGCGCGCACTCCCACTCCCACTACTATTTGTAAATATTAAGCCGCAAAACGACTATTTAAATATGATTTCTGCGTGTCTCTGTGTTAATGAATGGCGCAGACGCGCGGTTTTGTTTACTACACAGAAAGGTATTCACGGCAACCCGTCAAAATAAAAGTTCGGTTTAACTTGAAGGCATTGCGGCAGAAATATATTACTATTGTTCAATAGAATGTACGTAATAGGCTGCTACTTCTACTACTAAAATGATTAAAACCTTATTTTTAAGGAATAATCATACAATATTTATTCAATGTTTTAATTGTAATATTAAATTACCTTTATTTTCCCAAAAAAAAAAAACTTGTTTAATTTTCATTACTTAAAAGATAGATTAAATGAATGTTTATGCCTTAGAAATGTAAATACACAACACAAAATTTCTGAGCAAAAAATCATAAGGCTATTGTAAGAATAAATGAAACTTGTTTTTATGCTTTCAAACAATTAGACATGCTAAAACAGAATTTGGTAACAATAAAACATAAGATTGGGAATTTTTGTTACATTTTTAATACATTGATGTTAAATTGTTTAAGTTTCATGATTTTAATTAATTAGACATGCTTTTTTATGAATAAAATTTAATTTAACCATTAAAAAGGAGTCCAAAAA